CGATATTTTGAAACTGTAACGTATCATGGAAAAATGTTCGCTGAATTACAATTTTATTTATTACCTGATCTTTGGATACCTTGCAGATTGCCGTGTAGAGTCATATATGATGATGGAAAACATGGAAGGTAAAACATAGTCGGACACATGCATGAATTTTTCAGGAAAACACAGAAACTCGTTATATCTTGTTATGCTCATAGCAGGAATGAATTGCACTTTTTATTTATTCGTAAAAGGCAGGGATTTTTAATTTTATTTTCTGCATCTATGTAGCGCGAAAAATTCTGATAGTCATGTACAATTCACGCTGAAAACAATCTGCGAAACTAGTTGAGAAATGAGAACTGAAAGCTGTAGTCTCAAATTCCGGGCATTCGTAACTTAATACATTCTTAGGAATGGCCAGTCTTCATCAGTTATTTAGCCATTCCATCACCGAGAACTTTGCTGTGAGTGCGACCGATCTTCTGCCGTGAGAAAGGGAAAAGTTTCGTCGCAGTTTTGATGGAGAACACTCCGAGGGACTCTCACCTCTCTTTCCTAGCCAGCAAAACACTCGAGAAAGACTTCGTCAGTCTTATAAATGCTTCTTTAGAACTGGTAAGTAAGAACTTAAAAATATAATATATATTTTAAAATATTTTAAGGAAAATTTTAAAAGAAATTCCATATGTTTCTGTGAGACATCTAGTTAAATAAATTGCAGTGTTTAGATTTTATTTATCTCTTACGATCTGGTCTAATACTTATTTTCATTGCAATAAAGTTAATAAAATAATTCAGCAGAAAGGTTTGCAATTAGAAATCGCAATTTACAGGAAGAAAGTGCCGCATTTGAAGAGTTCTTTTACTATGCTTCTATTCTATTTGGCTATGGAAAACAACGTAATTTTGAAAATTGTTGATGCACAAAATATATTTCATAAGTAACTTCAATTTTTAATTTCAGAATAATAGGGTGAAGGGTAATAAATTAGGTGATAATCTAAACATACTATAGAAATTGCAATTTAAAAGAGAAACCCCGTTAAGGGGCCCTATGATCCAGCTTGCGAGGACTACCAAAATTACTTAAACCGACCCTAACGATACGATATGTTTTACCTAATTGTGGAGAACAGTTTTTCCTGCTATTCTGTTTACATTATAAGATTTTTTCGCCCTTCTTTCCGCATACCATCGTAGTAGTGTAACTGCAAGCACGCTAATACGTATTCGGAGGATTCGGAATTCGAATCCTGGTGAGAGTACTGCGGATTTCTTGTTTCGTGAGTTCTAAAAAGCTTTACAAGGGGCGCCCGAAATAAAAGATGGTAGACAACAATTCGTCACTACCAGGATTTTTCGACTGAGCCACCTCATACCTAGTCACCCTTAAAAGAGAAAGTATATAAGACTTCTTTTCCTCACGTGTTTCATGTTTCCTGGATCGATTTAACCTAATGATGCTACGATACCGTAACTGATCCTGCTATTCTGTTACTTATATAATCGACTCAAAAATAGTAACCAATGACACAAATAACAGGATCATGTTCCGAAAATGTAAAGCAGGCGTTATTCACGGTGGTGTCAGTAACGTTTTACAAGAACGTTCTGAATTATGCCTATCTGTTACACCTTTTATCCGTATAATCGCACGTCAATTACCGGTATTAACAGTTTCCATTACATGTAAAGACAGTATAAAAGTGTCTCATAGACGGTATAGTGGTTAGGGAAGCCTACTACGATACCGAAGGTCCCGGGTTCGAATCTCGGAGAAGACATGAACGTTTGTAAATGTATAGTGTCGGTGCGGCATGGCGGCACTCTAAATATGCGGCGACCCGAAAGTCATTTCGTGGGGATTGGTGGAAGGGGAGAGGAGTGGGATATCCCCGGGATGCTCTCTCTCAAAATTTGGGGTGGAAAATAGAAGTCCAACCTCTCTTCGGAATAAGCTCTGGCAACCATTGTTCCATGTAATATGGACACGACAACAACAACAAAGTATAAAAGTTTACGTAGTAGAGCACATTAAAACGTGTCACATGGACAGTGTATGTTCATGAAGGGTATCTTTTTTTATATGTTTAAGTATGATATTCATAAATGTCTCTTAAGAATAGTTTAATATATATAAATCAAATACGTATGTGCATTTATGGATTCTTTGAAATACTAATGTTACTTTAAATATCATTATGATGTAATAAATAAAGATGTATGCTTTTTAATATTTCACAATGCATTTAAAAAGAAAGCTAAGAAAAAGGATGCTTTCTCGCGAAGCATTCAGATGCAGAATTCAAAAACACACACGAACATGCCCAATAAATAAATAAATTAAATTAAACTCGGAAAAGGACACTCTAATACTTCTGTGTTAATAGATTTAAATTTCCTACTACCTTCCAATCATGAAGATCAGCTTAATTTCCAGATATATTGGACAAATTTCAAAATATTCGAATATACTTTTTAACCAACTTTTGTTTACTATCAGATATAAAATATTTCATCATAGTCGTGCTATGGTACGTTGATTTTTCTATGATAATTTTTCTAAAATTATAAAAACATTTGTTGATGTCGACGAGAATACGAAAATATGTTGGTTTTCTGCCATAATTATCTGATTAAATTTTGAAATTAAAGTAACTTTTGCAATGTGTGGAACTTACATCACTTGCAAGGAAAGCTGCTAGTTAAATTCTCGACTTAATGAAAAATTTTAAAATTAACACCTCCGTTTTTGATTAACTATTAAACTATTACCGTATAAAAACACTATAAAAGCCAAAACGTCTCTGCAGTGAATGTGTTGTAAATTGTAAAGTGCCTAGTAAAACATTTTTAATTTTTGGTCGATGGATTAATCAAAACAAAATGTTTTTTGTACGTTTACTTTTTTATCATCTCACTTGACTTATGGATCTGCACACAGTAGACTTTAGGCTGGAGCTCTTTCCGCTTCTCCATATGTTGTCCCACAGCACTATTTCTCTCAAGGACGAAATCACTTTTTCTCTCAAAGTACTCTCCCTCAAAGTATCCCCTGCGGTCCAAAAAACGTATGTAACCAATCAAATCCTGAAATTACTGACGTCCGGCTGACTCTGACCTCAGTCATTCTTAAAGAAGAACGATTCGAAAGACTGGGGTTTGAGGTCATCAAGAACACCGCTAAAATTATGATCGAAGGGAAGTATTGATGTCTTTGTTTTATCCGCTCTACTAAAAGTGTAAGTATGCATATTTTCACATTTTTAATCGTATTTTTAATAATGAAAGTTTGCTAAAATTGTTTTGTATGTCTAAAATCTTCCAAATGCTATAATCATATTGATCTCAAACTTATCATAGCTGCCAACTCAAGTTTTCAACTCAGTCCCAGTTTTTCATCACATCTCAAGGTAAATTACCAAATCTCGAGATTTTAAAGTCTCGAAATTTAAATCTTTACTAGAGAAAATTTTTCCCAGCAAAAAAACGAAATTTATCAAAATAATGAAATTTTTAATTAGGCGAATTGTATTCGTCCACCTGTAATGATTTTCATAATAATTTTTCTTGTTAAACTTTATTTCACAAAACTGTATTTTTTTATTAATTTTATTGACCTTAATAAATTTTTCTTATCGGATTTCGTTTAATCTGAGTTGTTTTAATCTGCTGTAGACATCAGTAGATTTTTATGTGAAGATTTAGGCAATGTTTAATTAGTTAATTTTCGTGTTTAATTTTGTTTACTTTAGTACCTGGCATATTACTAATTTTATCTAGTGTTGTTATGTATGTTAATTATTAATTTCACATGCATCGTATATTTAAAAATACTTTGATAAATAAAAGCTTTGCTTCACTACTGAAGATTTCCTCAGCATAAAAAAGCGAGGAAATAAAAAAAAAATGAAATTAGTAAAGAGCATAAATTTTAGACTATCTAATAAAATGCTAATGCATCTTACATCAAAATTGAATTACAAGTACTATAGTAACCTGAACCATCATGCATCATAAACTGAATCAAAGCGAGTTTGGAATTTCTTTGAAATGGTATAACCTCGCAGAGTGAAAAACCTTTCATTTTTCTAGAGCAAACCCGTCTTTAAAGAAAATCTCCCGTCTTTTAAGATTTTCCAAGGCTGGAAACTATGATCTGCATGCATATACGATTGTGTTTATGGCTTTAGAAATACAATTTTTATACTATTCAAATGTAGTACTGGTATTTTATGCACGTACTGTTTTCATTAAATTGTAAAGAAAAATTAAAACACTAAGAGAATTAGATATCTTATATTTACACAAGCAATGAAATAGACATTTTTTATTATTTAGAGTTAAAAACTGAAATTTTGGCTAGTTTTTTTAACTTTTTGATAACTATTTTAGAGCAGTTTAAGTTCTCCAGCTAAAGCGGCAATAAATAAATAAACAAATAAATAAGTAAAAATTTTAACTTTCAATAAATCACTGGAACTGCACTGGAGCGATGTAAATGAAATATCTTCATCTCACATTGGTCTAAGACATTACGTACCAAGCGAATTTAGTCGTAAACCTAGAATACTTTAAGAAATACAGAGTTGGAAGGCAACAAAGTTTCTTTATTTCTTTTATACACTAGGCCTGTTGTTATGAATTCAATTTTACCATCTGCTATGTACAACAACTTTCTTTTACTACATGTGGAAATTTTTATTTTAATAAAGCCTTCAGATATTGCTTTCTCTAATGATGCATTTGCAGAAAATGATTTAAGAGCTTTTAAACACAGTATTCGATTACATGGGAAAATATTTATTTAATAATTTATTTAATAATGTATAATGTTCTATCTTTGATTCATTTAATAAATGATGTTCAAAGTATTTGGGCCTCTTGACACTTTTTGTTGAAAACATTTGAACTTTTTGGGGGAACTGAAAAATATGCTTTGTGCTCTTTCAAAACCTTTGCAGCAGCTTGCACGCAGATATGCTTAACAAACACGTTTTGACGAAGAAGAAAAGGAATCAATAAGTGAAATTAGCAAAATATATCGTTTCAACTCTCAGAATTTAAGATATCTGCTGACACTGGTGATAATTGTTGTTTATTTATAGACAAATCAGTTCTAATAATCAAATATCTGTTAGAAAATTCATCGGAAAAAGAAATTGTTTTTTTACAGATTTAATAAACAAAAAGAATTTTAGTCATCCTTTCAGTTCTCTAAATTTAGGTGTCATTATAGTTTCAGAACTATCAATAAATTTAGAATCTACATCAGTGGAATCTGTTAACTGTATATATATATGCTAGTGGCATATAGGGATTATTATGTTTGTTATCCATTATGTTTTTAATAAGGTGTACTAACAGAGTTTCCCTCACCTAGAAAATTTTAAACTGCCATGGAAAATACAAAATATATTCAGAAAGTCAGGGAGGAATTTTCCCAGAATGTCAGGAAGTTTGAGTTCGTATAAGACAAGCTTTTTAATATTGATAATTAACTACATATAAAGTAAGATTGCTTCCATTCAGTCTCAGAACATTTACGGATTTATTTCATTACATTCACAGAAAATGGCATTTAGCGTTGTACATTTGCTAATGACCGATGAAGTGGCTGTCGTCCAAGCAAATGAGTGTCAGATGATAAAAAGGGACATGTAACTGGCCTTCGTATAAAGAAAGAAGTCACATGGAAAGAGCAATTCTGGAACACAGAGAACCAGATACATCCTGAGAGAATTTTTATATTGTTATCCTGGGAGAATATTGTAAGTATTCTACAAATGATTTTTACGTCTGTTTTCCCATATTAATTTAATTGGTAGGAAGTTTTTCGAGAGCATAAAATTGAAATAATATGTTTTCTGAATTGAAACATTGAAATTTTAAAAAAAATGTTTTGATGCGTAGGAAAATGTATTAAGCATACTTTAATTTTTCTAAACAAAATATTATTTATCCTTATTCTCTCTAATTAATTGTGCTCATATTATATCAGCTTATGTTTTAATAGTTTCGCTCCGAAATAAATCATATCTACATTCTTAATTACGGTTCATAGTAAGACTCTAATATTCAATATACTTTGCTAGTTTGTGAATTTTTAATACAACCTCTTTAAAAACTTACCCATATATAAAATAATGGATGCTCAAAGGAAGACTGAACGAGAGATTTTAGCCTGCGGATCCATATAAATGTCAAATTCAATTCCATTGAGTGAAGTCATGAATCAGGCTCCAGAATGTTAACACTGTGTTTAAATTTAATTAAAAAACGCCTATCTATATATTTTATTTACAAATCTGAATAAAAATATAATTTTCAATAATAAGATTTGAGTTTTCTATAAGAAATGTTAAAGTGATTAACGATTCTAAACAATAAATATGCTGTTGAGTTGAAAGATGAGACTGTATCTAATGAAAAATGTATGCATTTTTGTAGCTAATTATGCTACAGTTGAATTTAAGTCCAAAAACGGCTTTAAAGACATTGAATTTTAGATTCAGGTTCAGACTTTGAAACACCAAAACAGAAGCGAAAGAGGCCATTAACATTCTGATACATGTATATGTATCAGAATACTAATTCTTCGGATGATAAATTAAATACAAAAAGAAACAAAACAGAATTACCTTCTACTAAATTAAATTATAGCTAAATAAAAAGAAATTCCTTTTAATTTTTCCTCATGCGGTAGTAAATTAAATTTTACTACACTTTCTTAAGCTTCTTTACTTAGTTATATTAATTACAGTAGTAGAAGATGTTTTTAATCATTTATTTCAGTTTTTATTTTTTTTTATAATTAAATCGAAATTATATGTTTAATTCCATTATAATAATTTTGTTTGCTGATTATTTTTTCCTTTATCAAAGTTAAATTTTATTTTGAAATTTTTCATTTTAACAATTTCACATTATGAATGTTTTTCTATTATAAGATTTTTGAATTCTACGGTTTTCTTTTTCTTGGTGGCTTGTGCTTTATGTCACTGTACTTTTTCAAGTTCTTTTTATAAAAAGTTTGTACTTTAGTAGTACTTTTATAGTACATTTTATATAAAAAGTTTCTAACTTTCAAATTAACAAAATTTGCTCTTTTCAAAAAAGTGTTGACTTTTTCATATTTTTATATATTGGGTAACTAATTTTGAATCACGTCAAAAATTAACTAGCTATTTAGTCATTTACTTTTATTTTTCAAGAATGTTCATTTCAGAGACACTTAGCGCTATGTTTAATTCCTCAGCATTAACTTTGCTTATTAGCTATTTTTTCACGATCTAAATTCATTAATCTTTTTTTTAATTTCATAAGTTTACTAAGTCCATATTTTCAAAATTTGGCCAGCTTTGCCTTCTCTGTGGTTTTGAATTCCGCATGTTTTTTTTTTTTTTTTTTTTTTTTTTTTTCATGTACATTATGTCATTCCTATTTTCCAAGTTATTAATTTTTAAAAACTAAAAGGTAAGTGATATCGTGATAAATACTGATTTCAGATACTTGCAGTTTTTATCATTATTTTAATTTGCCTCATCGGTTGCTAAATGTATAACACTAGCGAAGACTGGGAGTTCGTCTTGGCTTCTATTCCAGACGAACGGTTTTGTTGCGTAGTTGGTTTTCGTGGTTTTTTCCATGAGTAGCATGAATACGAGCCAGTTTTCCTTTAGAAATTCCTCCACGAATTCATTCCCTCCCTTAGGCAGATATCATTTGTACACTTCGTTATATTCGAGTATCCTTAAATAATCATTAAATAATTTTTAAACAGTTTTAAATTTTTTGAAAAATTTTTAATTTTGAATTAAGGTTTTGGTCTTTTAATTCAAAGGACTCTTTGATTACTTGTACAATTCATCCAGATATAATTTGATTTCTCTGTTTATAATTCCATTTTCTTTCGGCTGCTCTTTGACAAAGACCGAAGATATTTTTTAATTCTTTAAATTTCATGCGAACTTTGTTTTATTTATGTATTGATTTAATTTTGCTCCAATTTTGTTTTCCATGTTTTTGATTCATTCTTTTGATTTGTGACTTATTGTTACAGAGTTCATCATTTTAGGTTTATATTAACTCCATTTGTTTGAATTCACATGTCTCTCTGTATGTATATATATATGCAAGGAAGAGGAAAGTTCAAAAGCGATTGCTTAAAAGTACATTTGGAAATTAAAATTTTAAAATCAAAAAATACCCTCACTTCCAATATTTCACTTAACATGATCTTTGAGACTAAATCGCGATTTCAAAATACATAAAAATCATATTCTAACCATATTCTAATCATATTCAAAAAAATTTCAATGATTTTTTTTCAAGGATTGTATATTTTTCTTCAAGTGAATTTAACTAAATTCAAATAGTGACATTACAGAGCGTGTTAATTTTGTATTTCAATCTCGAAAATGATTGCTTTAAACGGCGACCATTTCGAGAGCATTTTGACATAACTGACGATATATGAAATTGAAGCGCAATTTGTTGGCGACGTTTGGTGCTAAAAACAATTCTTGACCAATAATCTTCTTACAAAATTAATTTTAGTAAGTGTTATAATTTGTTTGCTATTTCACTTTTGAAAAAACTTTCTAGGATAACCCATATTGATTTTTTACTTTATATTTATTAATTATATACATATGTATAGATTTATATATATCCGTCGATCTCTGTTTTTTTATATGTGTTAACTTTTCACATATCACATCGATAAGATTAGTTTTTAGTGCATTCACATGTTTTCCAACATTGATTCTAACAGTTTTATTTCGCGTGTAGGCTGTTTTTTCACCTTTCCATGTTAATATTTTTTTAAAAATTACTTCCATGTTAATATTTTAAAAAATACTGCGTTGAACTATTTTATGGAGCCACAGCTCCTGGTAACTTTTTAGCGAGCTCACTAGAATATTTCTTCCTATTATTTCATATTTTTGCAGCATTTTGCGCAAAAAAAATTTTAAGACCAAATAGGTCTTACGTCAAATTACTTGTTAGCTTTTCAATTTCTATTTCAAATATATATATATATATATATATTAATATATATGGCATTGCTTATTAAAAGTTTTTGTGGTTAAAAAAGTTTTTTTGTGGTTAAAACTGATCAGATCTATTTTAGTAGAATCTAATGAGTAAGTATTATGTTGCGCTTCTTGTAGTTGTTCTCCATCACAGGTTTAAAATCATAAGCACTCATTAAATGAATCATGAAATAGCTTTAGCACTACTGTTATATTAATAGATGTAATTGTTGCCCCAAAATTTGGCTACTCGGCTTTCCTGAAGTCTATTGCTCTAAAAAAAGAAAAGTCTATAGTAAAATGCTTTATTCAATTTAAAACAAGGGTGCCAAAATTCCTAAATACATATTTGTAGGAATGAATAGAATTACATATTAAACGTTTTTCTCACTTACACATTTCTCCATTTACGTTGACAAATTTTCATGACTAAATACTACTTCACTTTTTGTTAAGATTATTTCACGTTTAATTAGATACCTGCGCAAATTTAATGCAAATAAAGCACATTTAACAACATATAATGACACAATTCTAACTAATCAATGCACTAATCTCTAATATTAAATTGAATTTACATTGTAATTTGATTTTAAATTAATTGTAAATCTCTCATATTAAATTAAATTTTAATTTGAATGAAACACTAGGATAAAAAATTATTCTGATTACTGAAATGTATTCATATATGCAAAATGTAAATAGCAAATAATGTTTCAAATCAAATTTCTCAATTTTATATTTATACTTATTATATGTATAATAAATTTTAAAATATTTAGGGAGTCATTGTAAGATATTTTTGCTTGTGAGTCAAAGTTCTATTTAATTTCCTTAACATTCGTATTAAAATACATATATAGTGTGTATATACATACACACACATATATATATAAATTTATTTCCTAAACAATATTGATTAATTGATTATATTATCTCCTAAGTTTAATTAAAGTAAAATTATTTTAAAAGAGTATATATATATATATATATGTAAAACGTTTATCTTTACATGCATATGCACATGTACTTAAATTTTTATCATAGTTGCACTGTATTCTCTTATTTTAATATAAGCATTTCAAGGTGACAGTATCCATGCTCCTTATTTTCGTTCGTAACATATATGTTGCCATCTCTTCAATGAAATAATTTTTTCTACTCCATGACTGTAACTCATATGAACCTTTAAGTGCGGTGCCGAAATAAAAGGAAAATAGGAAAAACGAATCTCCAGAATCGAAAATCTTTTGCAGCACATGTTACCCTTGTTCACTAGAGAAACTAAATGGGGAAATAGCTACTTGAAAGAAACACAATTCGACATTTTTTGTTTGTAATACTTCATAATTTTATGACCATTTCATTCTTTTCAAATATTTTAACTAGACCAGCATTTCATGATTTAAATAACCATTTTCGTTTCTTTTCTGGCAAGGAAACAAATTTCATTTTTTTTTTTTATTGTTGATAATGCTATCTGAGAATGCAAAAAATGAGGTATTTGAGGTATTTGTATTGCAAACTCAAAATCTTTAACCAAAAATTATCTGTTAAAAAATCCTTTTTCTTAATTCCATTATATTTTTAGTTCCCGTTTTCTAAATAACAGTTCAATTTGCAACTTATCTAATTTTTGAAAAATTGAAATTTATCTAAAATTTTGATTTTTTTAAAATCAACTCTAACGGCGAAATCTCAAATTGAAGCATTATTCAATAGTACTATTTCAAGATAACATAATTTTACATTAAACCGACCACATAGGATGAAACAGCATCGCTTTTATTAAAGTTTGAGAAAATTTATTATTTCTTGATTATTTAGTTTAAAAAATATTTTTTTTTATTCTTTTAGGTGCTTTCAAAGAAAATCGGGCCACCAGAGAGGTACCTTGCAATATTATTGAACATATTATAAAAGACTGGTTGAAAAGTGTTTCATTTAGAGAAAAGTATCATAAAAAAAAGGAAACAGAAGGAAGTTTGTAAACAATGGAATAAAAAATTTGTGTATTAGCTTGTACGAAAATACTGTAATTAAAGTTATTAATTGTTCAGTTTGTTTCCTAACTTTCATGAAGACTTGGATTGGTAGAGGATACTTAGCTTAAGCAAATATTGTATCTTATACATTGTATTACTGAATATGAAAATAATTAGTTCATTGAATTTGAATGTTTGATTCTAGAAGAGAAATTTATTACATGAATATGCAATATGGAAATTAATTTCATTACATTTCCTTTAATACTTTTAATTTTGCTTTAAAATTTTATGAAATAATATAAAACTATCAGTTTATAGATTTTGGGAATTTAATGCATTCCTAGTAGCTGAATTAAATTAAAACCTTTTGCAATAAATGCTTCAAATTTTAAATTATGACAATAATTATATTTTAACTGAAAATTGCTTGTTAAGAACCTTATCCATTGACTGGACCATCCACTGAACTGAACTAAATCTTTTATAAATCAAATTTATGGCAAAATAATGAAATGAAATAATGAATTTGTGAAAGATATATGTCATTTTATTTGTTTATTAACTTTCAAAATACGCCTTCTAACTTTATAAAAAAATTACATGGACAGAAGTAATTTTAACAGAGAACTGTTTAGTACAGTTAAATTGCTTGTAAACAGAACACAAGAAAAAATATTTATTTTTAAAATTTGCATACATTTAAATGCAAACTTTTAAATTTATTTTAATGACAAGAAATATCCAAGCATTCACTTTAAATTCCCATCATCCTGATGCTTTTCAGTCTACTGCAATGACAAAAACTCTAGACAGCAGTAGTCTCATATAAAGTTTAAGTACAGTTATTAAACTGGCATATCAGAGCTTATTAGTGTTGAAAGAAAACAATTTGTTTTTAATTTACTGCAAAAAAGTACCGAGGATTATATTTAATAAGAAATAATTATTTCGTCCAGAATATAATACAGTCTCCCATTAAAATAGTTTGGTGTATATGATCACATGAATAAGGTTTCAGAATTTTGAAAATTGCAATGATTCTGGCCATATATTAAAAATCGTGATTTGCAGTCTGATTCCTTTTCCTTCCAGTAAGAACAATAACTTTATTTGTTGGTTAATTTATTAAAATTAAAATACATTTCTATCATTAGAACTGTAACAAATCTTGTTTTTATATGTAGTTAATAAGAATGGTGTGTAAAACTTCTATGGGAATATAAGGTCTAGATAATATTGCATTGGAAAAATTGCATGTAAATGTAGAGAAAAAGTGTAAAGTTTCATTAATAAATGGCATGTATGTAATGAACTAAGAGAATAGAAATAAATAATAGAATTTGAATTTTGATGCACATATAAAGCATAACATATATTTGTAAATGTAACATTTTAGGCTCAACTCTTCAAACAGATAATGTCTTTTCCAGAAAATTGCAGTGTTCTCTTCCGTTAAAGAAATGTAAATTATCGTATGAATTCACTATTTGGAAACTAAGTTTCGCATTAGACGCAAGTATTACAAACACAAATATTTCATGTACTGTTGTCCTTCAGAGTCTGTACATATAGACCGGATTCAGAACGTTCTAGTTAGACGTAACTCAAAACGTTCTAGTTAAACGTGATTCGGAACGTTCTTTGCATGTTATACAGAAGTGTTAACAGTACAAGTATTTGACGTGGTATTGCTCGTCATAAACCTTTAATCTATAGACGACAGTCAGAACGTCTGCCCAAACGTTAAGAGAACGTTCTGCTAGCACGTTATAGAAACTTTCAAAGAACGTTCTAGGAACGTTATATAAAATTATTACTAGTACCACATTTTGACGTTCTATTGTCCATTAATGAACTACATCTTACAGACGTAATTCAGAACGTTTTGCCTGAACGTTAAAGAAACGTTCTGCTAGAACGTTAAAGAAACGTTCTGCTAGAACGTTAAAGAAACGTTCTGCTAGAACGTTGAAGGAACGTTCTGTTAAAAGGTAACGGAGCTTCCATATAACGTTCAAGGGACGTTTTATAAAATTGTTAGTAACACCATTTTTTGACGTTCTACTACCCGTTATTGAACTGTAACATACTGACGTGATTCACCACGTTCTGCCTGAACGTTAAAGGAACGTTCTGTTAGAACGTTAGAAGAACATTCATAGAACGTTATAAAAAAGTGATAGTAGTACCACTTTTGACGTACTACTGTCCGTTATTGAACTTCAATACATAGACGTGGTTCAGAACGTTCAGGTAAAACGTGTCAAAAACGTTGTACTAGAACGTTAATGACACGTTGCATGAAAGTGTTACAAACACAAGTATTTGACGTGTTATTGCCCGTCTTAGAACTGTAACATGTAGACGGCATTTTGAACGTTCTGCTTGAACGTTCCCGACACGTTTGTGAAGCACTTGCTCTGAACGTTCTTGTGCTAGTTGGGAAGCCTCATCCTTCGTGTGACGCGTGGAGAAAAACATGATTTTCCTACCATGACGTAGATGTATGTTGGCGGAGAAATCCAGAGGAGAATTCTCGATGATGCGATGATGAGCCTTCCATTCAAGAAAGAAAACAATCACTTCGCTGCAGAATGGATGGAGAGCTGCGTGAATTTCCTGCAATCTTATGTGTCCGTCGTAGGAAGAGATCTTGTACTTTTCTAATTTTCCGATTCGGCAAAATTTCTGAGGAGCATAGCTGCCTGAAAACCTGTCTGTAATCTCTCTACTGGACTCTTTACAGCTCTGATTTGTCCTATGCATGAAGTGATTGAGATTAAGAATGCATTGATCTTGTCATCTTCGATCCATGCCATAGCGTCGTTTATATCCTTCGGTGGGGGCGTAATTTTACTTTTCAGCTTCTCGCTATAAGTAGCTTGGGGTGGATGTTTTGATGCGCTGGGAACTTAGTAGCCTTTTGGACTAGGGAAATTTTCCTCCGTGAATTCTGGGCTTTAGGCTGGGGTGGGCTGCTTTTCTTTTCAAATCTTTTTTTGTACTCACTACATTCTCTATAGCTACTGACGTGGCAAAGTCCGAAAAATATACATTTGGGCTTGTCTTCCGGTTTCATAGAACATTGATTGCTTCTGTGTTGTTGTTTACATTTTACGCATCTAACGGAGTTACTGCAGCATGACTGAGAGTGACCGAATTGCCGGCAGCGGTAGCATTGAACAGGTGTTTTCTTAGAGTTAAACTTTTTGATAGTAATGTTGAAGTTGAATATGTTGTTAAGCTGATGAATCTTGTTACCTTTCGGGGTCCTTTTAAGTTCAAGTAGAAAACTGGGAAAATTAATTATTTCACCGTCACGTCGTTTTGAGATTGCTTTACTTTTTCTATGGGAAAGTTCCTGCGTTTAAGGTCTTGTAGGATATTTTCTTCTTCAAAAGTAGTGGGGAGGTTCTTCAGAATTACACGTATTGCTTTTCGAAATCAATTTGGCATGAGTGGTATGGTATTTTCTTTTCTAATAGTAGCTCGTTCATAGTACTGTAGTCCTTTAAGTTCTTTTGGTATAGACGAAGATTGATTTTCCTCTCATTACGCACTCATGAGGCTCATTACAGTTTTTCGTAAACATTTCATCGAGAATTATCCAGTTACTCGCTTCCTGTGAGAATGCAATGGGTGGAGGAGGGACTTCTGCGTTGACTCCACCTTCAGGGTTTTTTTTCGGCAATTTTCCTCAGCAGTTGGAATCTGCTCTCTTGTGGAATTTCCATCGATTATGGTGTTTCCTTAATTTTAGCAATTTTCTTTGGCGTGGTACATTCTTCATCTGCATCATGATTTTCGGTAGTTAGATCAGTGAATTGTCTTTTATTGGGAAACTGGGCTGCGTCCTTGACGTGTTCAGAGATGATTCTGGATTTTTCTTCTGGTGATTTAGCAGCGTTTAGCCTTACCTCATACTCCAGGTGTTTCGTTACATATTCCACTCCATATTCTCCTATCAGTCTTTGTAAATCCTTTCCCCGATCCTTTTCCACATTTTTCTCCGCCTTTGTCAGTCTTTTCTTCTCCTTTCCTATTTTTATTTTTCTTCCGTAGCCTTGGGTCCTTCAGAAATTCTTCATGCCTTGAGGTGGGAAGTAGAGAAAACTTGATCGTTCCGAGTCCGTAAAATCTCTAATTTCTTCAACAGTATTGGCTGTCCTAAAAAAGGACATGCTTAATAGTGAAACCCGTAGGAATCACTCGCGTAGTCTAAAAAGGTACTCAGTAGAATAAAAGTAAAACTAACTGACCGCCTACGGGACTGGGTCAGTTCTTCGAAAAATTGAGCTTAACCAAAGTGCGTCCAACACGTTCGGAGTCACAGCTCGGAATGTTGGATTCCAAGCGAATAGGCTGGTTGAATCAGAGTTTTCGTCGTTTCCCACGTATATAACTGGATACTAGCAAATTTCCTTTAGAAAGTCTTCGGCGAAAGTAGCCCTCCTCTTAGGAAGATAGCCCTCGAGTGATTTCCCGTAATCAGACAAAGCAGACAGATGTCTTGTTTTGCACCCGCAGTCCTTCTACCCGCAGGGCGAAAAATCAACCTTATGTCAACCAAATAGAAAAAGGGAAATTTTGTTTGAGGGAGAAATAATTTCATAGTGTTCGATACGAAATTGTTAAAGGCAAGTAAAAAAAAAATTAAGGCCCACAAAGCCGATCTTAAACCTAACAGAACTGTTGATAAGGTTTGAGTCCATCATTTAATAGAATTATGTGCTTTGACTGCAATCTTTAAAGTTCGATGGATCCTTTCAATTTTCCATTACATTGTGGACGATATGCCGTTGTTGTGCATACTTTAAATTCACGAACGCCGAAACGGGGAGAAACAGCATATTATGGTAGACCACGTTATGGTTGTCATCCGATGACGTACTTCTTCTAAGAGGACAGCGTAATACTTTTTCCCTGCTAAGGGATTATCCGTAGCAGCAGAACGGAATACGTATTCGGAAAATATTATTATGTTTGCTATTTGCTTATCAAGCAAAGAGTCTTAAATTAGAAATAGCACATAATTGAATAAAATATTGATAATATATGTAAAAATAAGTGTCTTGCACCTGCAAATATTTATTTAATGCTTTATTTTCTGTTTTCATTTATTTAATGCTTTATTTTCTGTTTTCATTTATTTAATGCTTTATTTTCTGTTTTCATTTATTTAATGCTTTATTTTCTGTTTTCATTTGCTTTGTTATGCTTCCCTGTACTCATCGATGTACAAACATGGT